CGTGGGCGCGGAAGAAGGGACCCATGACGCCGACTTGGTACCACCGCACTAGCATCTCTGCGTTGGGGTTGCCGAAGAATCCGCCAACGTCGGCTAAAAGACAAGTTAGCACCGAGGTTGGGAGAAGGAGGGAAAAGGAAAGATGTACAGCCGGAGAACGACATCCCTGCGATAGAGTTGGAGAGGACCATCTTAATCCCCACAGCCATGTGTTCCCACGTCCCGAGGTTATCACCGGTCCATAGCGCGCCGAATCTCTGGGACCCGGCGAAGAAGGACCTGGTGAGGACGAAAGGGCGCTCGGCGGGGTCGGTTCGGGCTGCTACAGCTTGGTGTGTCGCATTGGTCTACAAGATTATAGAATATTGGTCAATCCCAGGCAACGACAAAGAATGAGGGGGAGAGAAAGATGAACGCACGAAGAGCATGCCGTTGATATTATGAATGTCCCTATGCTCCCAACCCCCGTAGTGGACGTTATCCTTTGGCATCGTAATCTCAGGTCCGTTAAACACAGAAGGCTAAGAACCCACAAAAGTCAGCACCGTCAACAAGCCGCAGAGTCAGACTGACAGCCCCACCTCGTTCATGTCATTCCAGATGTGAACATCCTTTGTGCTCTGCGTCCAGCTCCAGCTCCCATCCACAGAAGGCGTGAATTTGAAAAGCGACGTCCACCACTCCAGAACTGCAGGGTTGAAGAAGTCGACCCAGGAGGAGCTGCCTGGCCAACACCAGCCCTCGTATTCGCCTGTGCCGGACTTGGGTTTGACGAGGAATTCCTTGTCGGAAGCTTGCTTGAAGGCAGGGTAATTCTGAGCGCGCTTGAGATGGGGGTCGACGATGGCGACCATCTATCATACAAAAAGACGTGAAAAACCGATGAGACGGGTGGAGAACGCTGGGACGAGCTGACCTTCCTTCCAATAGCCACAACGTCATTCGTCATCTCCACCGGATCCGGAAACGTCTTCTCATTCCACATAAAGTACTTGTGGTCGTCCGCATACTCGATGTCCAGCCAGAACACGTCCACGGGCATATCCTCCTCGTCGAACCTCTTCTGCACAGACCTCACATCGTCCGAGCTGACATAGTTCCACCTGCACTGGTGGTACGCCAGCGCCCAATGCGCCGGGAGAACAGGCGTGCCTGTCAGCCTTGCGTATTGCTTGAACACCGCGTCGGGGTTGGGGCCAGGGAGAATGAAGATATCCATCACGCCCGACTCGGAAACCCAGTGCGTCTCAGACGACTTGCCGGGTGTAGTGTGCTTGACGTCAATCCACGTCTCTGAGCCGACGGCGTAGAAGACACCTGTGGTGGATTGGGTGGAGTGGCCGTAGATGAGCGGAATAGAGCCGTAGACGGACATCGGGGAAGAAGCGAGGTACTCGAAGACGTCGGCGTTGTAGAGCCTGAAGGGGTCTGAGAAGGTTGCGTTTTCGCCACGAGTGGTGGGGAGGGAGAGTCGAGTCGCGTGTTGGGGTATACCGTAGACGTGGGGGTGGTTAGGGAAGTTGATGTCGATGGACATGGATTCTGGACCTGTGGGGGGGTTTGTTAGAGTTACAGTGGGCATGAGGAATGTGACGGTACTGACCTTTGGGCTTGGTATCCGTCCATGAGCCGAAGGTTTCGTCCCAGTAAGCGTCCTCCTTGTCGCCTTCGAACCAAGCTCGGGGATTAGGCACCACCTCTAGAGTTTCCTGGACGGTCTCTCCTTCGGCACCTTCAATGGCCTCTTCCTTCTTCTCTTCCTTCTTCTCTTCTTTCTTCCTGAAGTGCTCCATGTGCAACAGTCCTTCGCCGTTCAGCTGTACCTCCACGCGACCGCTCCTCAGCAGAGTAATTTGCAGTGGCTCGTACTGCACCACCAGCTCAACGTCTCCAGAGCTCTCTCGGATATCCTCCTCTCCCTTCAACCACTTCCCCTCGATAGACACCGTAGGCTGTCTATGCAAAGCCCAGTCTGCAGCTCCGTCGTACCGCTGCAGCAACCCGCCCGTCTCGTCCAAACGAATTCTAAACACTCCATCGTCGTGTAATCGGACTTCCAAGCCAAACTTGATATCCGGGTATAACGCTGACTTGACACTGGCTGTGAACGACGAGTCCACCGAGGATAGAGAGATAGATTCTGGAGAAAGTGAGTAGGGCGACTTCCAGGCGACGGGTGTTGCTTCTGCGGCGCGCTCGGCGAGGGCACGGCCTCGACGGCAGAAACCTGACTGAGAGCAGGTCTTGAAGTCGTTTGTTTTGACTGCCGCTGTTGTGGTTACCAGTACAAGACTGGCGACTAGACCACACCAGCGCATGGTAGGAGTTTAGAGGAGAGATGGGTTTACACGTCAATGCACATCACATTGGCATTGACAGGGACCATCAGTGCTTCGGCGCCTGCACCTTCTCCCATTAACTACCTGTCGTCGCCTCAGTCAATGTCCAAACACTCTGCTTCTCCTCTTTATCTCAGCACCTTCCCACCTACACTATAACCATATACAATGGCTAATTTGACTCGCTCTGCCAAGTCTAGCGGCGACCTGGACTACGTGCGATCTCTAGTCCTACAACATCACCCTCGGAGTCGGGGTCGCGAGCACAACTGCGATGCGCCCCTCCGAGATGCTCGTGCTCAGCTTGTTGCTCAAGCTATAGCGGTGTTCACGCAATACAACGCCAGTAGGCAAAGTGATCGTCTCTCTCCCCTGGACTCTAAAGTTAACAGCCAAGTTTGGCCTTCGCTCTCCGTCTCTCTGTGACCATATTGATGTTGAGTCCGATTTCAGGTGGTACCTGGAATTCTCATGAATGGCACGTCGCCCACGTTTTTCAAGATTCCAGTCATAGAAAGACTCTCAACGCATGTACGCCACGGAACATACCCTCCCACACCGACTATCGTCACCTTCTGCTTTCCTCCAGTGCTACAGCTACCCAATCGTCCCAGCGATGGCATGAAACCTTTGAAGGTCAGACTGGATATTCTCCAGTGCTACGAAGCTTTCAAGACTGTTATTGGCATTTGAGGATACTACCATATTTCGCCGTTTTGCGCCCGTCCAGCTATCCCATGGCAAACACATTTCTCTCCCTCTTGACTCGCAGTAATCGCTATCGCTTTCCCTCCCATTGGTACTCTTAGTATTGCAAACTTATCCTACCTTGAACAATGTTAACCTTCAGGATACTGACTGGCGCTGGAAGCCCTGTGTGTTATCTTGCTAATGTACTCGGGCGCTCGACTCGGCAGCCACGGTCCTGAGCGCTGACTGTCTTCTTAAGCTCGTGCCGCAGGTCCTCCACTAACTTACTCTTGGCCATAAACACTGATCAAGCATGCCCTCTCATCGCCATTGTTGACATTTCGGGCAAGGGAAAAGGAGTCGTTGCTCTCGAGCCCATCCTCCGAGGCACCCGTATTGTCGCGGAGAAACCGCGAATACGCGTGCCACAACACCACTTCGGACAAGCGATGTACATACTGAAGTCTCTTTCGGAAGAGGACCTGGAGTTTTTCATGTCGTTCCCATGCCCAGATGGCATGAATCCCATCACAGGACGCTTCCGCCATTTTGTACCTTGCGTTGGATCATCGGACCCAGCTGCGGCTCTATTCGATACTGTGTGTCGGATGAATCACACTTGTTACTCACCCTTAGGTGCACTCTACACCTGGATGGAAGAGTACAACGAGGAAAGTCAGTCACCTTTGATAACACCGATCTACATGTTTTGAAGCTTTTCCCTGATGCCTCCTCGTGTCCAGTCGTTCATGCAACCGAGGACATAGCTGCCAATGAAGAGATTACCCTCTCATACATCCAGACGGCCAATCATCTCGATGATCCACGGACGATCCTCCACAGCATGTACGCATTCGGGTGTAGATGTCCTGGCTGCCAGCGCCCCCTTGCTGAGCGCATGCGCTTCGTGGCTCGCGTCAAGGCTTTCACTGTCTACGCCTGCGAGCTCCCCGCTCGCATGTACTCAACCAGTGGAGAGGCCCCACTGGATATTATTGCCAATATTGAGTGCAACATGCTAGAGATTTGCGCTGAAGGATACACGTCGGAGATCTCTGGCTGCGCCCACGACGCCTTCCAGCTCTGCGCGTTCTACGGCGATGGAGCGAGTGCGGTGCGGCGGGAGGTCATTTCGAGGGAGTGCCATTGCGTACAGCACGGCTTGGATTCACATGGATACCAAAAGTCCGCAAGATTGGTGATGCATCCGCAAAGTTTCCGGGAATGGGATGCGTTCAGGTTTTCCCGGAAGACGAAGAGCTTACGCGGCCCTGTAAGCTATTTTCCACTCTGTATTCCTTGCGAGCCTCGGTCTCAGATATCGAAACCAGACCCACGAAGTTCTCGAGTTGTTCAAAGCCGCTGTTATGCCAACCCAGCCAAAGTGCGCCAATCAACGGTACTACAGCAGCAGCAGCTCTAAAAACGGCCGGGGGAGGCTTTTACATTATGCTGCATGCCTCAGGATCCTGGGCCTTGAAGTTTACTACTGTTCAGTGTGACACGCCTTTTCGATGTCGGTGTCTCTCAATTCAACGAACACTGATTGTGATCCGATGGATAGAGAGTGCCAACGGGACGATTGGAAACCCTGGCACAAGAGTTTCTGTGGCAAGTCAGTGAAGGTTGGAAGGTTCGCAATGGCAAGATGTATTTAACTTCGAGTCTGGAGGTCGAAGTGATTGATCTCCAACCGCAAAGCCACAATGTCGGCTGCCCCAAAAGAAACCAACTGTATATCTAGAAATGAACAGAGAATATTTTACTATGGGGATATGCCAGAGAGGCCGTTCTCGTAAAGCACTCCGTATTTTGCCTGGTAGTTCGTTCTACTCCCAGGAATGGAGGCTGGCTGAGTGCCACTACAGTGACTACACTTTGTAAGCAATATATTATTATATCACTAAGATGTGGGCTTGGCCAGTAGCATTTCTTGGATGAGAAAAAAATGTGCGTGCGTTTAGGCTTTAACTCTCTGACTGGGAGTCGAACCCAGCTTTCGCGCGAATTGCGAATAGAAGCGCTCATCACAGTGACAGGCGCGTGTACTAACCGATATACTATCAGAGATATAGTTTTGTTTTCAACGTTATAATAATGGCCGTCAAGCTGGTCAGCCCTACCGTCGTTGCTTATGACCTGCTGCTGTGCGCGTTACTGGCTTGAAACCAACCGCCACCCGCATCGACTTCTCACACATCCGACAACTTCGCCCGCCTATTGACACTGCATCAAACACGAAATTAGCAGAAAACATCGCGTACAGTCCTAGCCCTAGATTGCGGGACAAGCAGAGGGGAATACGGGAGGTTTATAGTGGACCAGAGTCTACCAGAGTGCGTTCGTACGTACATGCCTTTCTGGGAGATCATCCGGTTGGAGGTACATCTAGGGTCTGACAAAGACGCTCCTGAGGATCTCCTGCGCAATCTTGGTGGCATATCCAGCCGCTCCTACCAGCTGCACACGCTCGACTCTCGAGCTGGTTTTCGGTGAGCCATACGAGGTGGCCACTGACTTGTGGGAGTTCGCCGCAGGGCTTGACATGGGAAACGACAGGTGTGCACTACAGGATCTCCCTAGACTCACATCCGCCATCCTACAAGGATCATTAGTAGATTGCGTCGATCTACCGGGGAATCAGCTCAATTCATTGGAGCTCACCGAATGCTACACCGCGAGCCGCATAGGGGAGGTGCGCTCAAAGTGTCTTCAGTTGGATGCGCTTAAGTTGTCGTACGTAAACAACGAAGACGACGCCGACGACGAGTTCCTAGTGCGAACCTAGATAGCCTTCGAGTCTTGACGAGCCAACATTTGCCGGAGAGAGATTCGCCGTTTCCTTATGTCTTCCCAAGCTCGACGAACTCAACGTCTCGCACGAGGCAGTCTTCATCCCCGACGTCATATCCATGATCAAACTATCTGCCTACTCTCTTACAACGCTTCGCATCATCGACGTGGGCACGGATGACCCGCACGCATTGAGCGCAGAGCTCAAGGAGTTGCTGCAGACAAACTCAGTCCTGAGGGAGCTCTTATGGTCCCTCACCCGCCCACATGATGTCGACCCAATATTCCGGATGCTCACGCTGGAGGATGACGGTGGCGGCAACGTATGCCCGCTCCTTGAGCACCTTGACATAGAAAATGTGCGCTTCTCAGCCGAACCGCTTCTCGACATGCTCGAATCTCGCATCCGGCGAAGCACCGTTGACTCGGCCCAAGGATTGGAATCTGGTTGCCTAGATTTCCTTCGGGTCACCAATTTTCACACGCACTCAAATCGACGTGATAATCCGGATTCTTCGACCAAGCTATGTGATACATTCAATGAGCAGGAGACGCAGCGCCGTAAGGAGCTTACCCAGAGTATGCTACGCGTAACGGTGTTGGATTGGCACAAGGGAATTGTTGATTCCTGTTCGTGAGCATGGGTTAGAGAATGTGGGGCAAGAAGGATTTCGAAGTAACTAAATCACAAGAGGCGAGGATAGAGAGACGACCTTCGGCCTTGAAGAGTAATCCGAGCGGACTCCTTACTGTTAGAGTACTTATCTCGGTTTTTATGAATCACCTGTACTCGGCGCTCAGATATTGTGAGAGAACGCAGCAGTGCCCGGATACCGTGAAACTATTTCGCCGACAAGGGGTCATGCATTCACTGTGGTCGAACCAAACGAGCACTTACACTTAGTGACCTTCTCATAATCTTCGAACATCATCAGTAGTAAGTTCAATCCAGATATACCTCTGACAGTCTCGTGTGTGAACGCAGCCAAGATGAGAAGGCTCAAGAAATGTACGTCAGCATATCCTGGTCCCAACGTCCGAACGGTTCTCGCAACATCACTGACCAATGCTCACACCACACTCAGCAACCATAAAAGTTAAGAACAGTTCATCATTCGTACAAAGACAGACGGATTAATACGGACAAGATCTGACATGGCATGTATGGGTTTGGCGCGAGACACGGATTCGTGATCAAGCGCAAGAGAGACAGAGAAAAGGATACGAAGTAGAGTGAAAGTGAGAGGACAAGAAACATGAGAGCGAGAAAGAGAGGGAGAAGAGACATACGGATTTACTAAGGAGAAAAAGAACGAGAAGACGAGGGAGAAGAGAAAACGGGTTTCGTTCATAGTTTTTAAAGAAATCACGAGAACATCAGCGACCAGTCCACCAAGGTGCCCTCGCACCACCATCCTCTCCAACCCTACCGAACCCCAACGCCCCGCCTAAACCCACCACCCCTGCCCCGGCACACCAAATGGTCCCGGTCCATACACAGGTTGTGCAGGCGCCCACCTCGGCGCCATCGCATGCCCATGCCCATACTGCCCCGCAAGATGATACGGATGCAAACCCATCCCCGGCGGCGGCGGGTACATCACCCCCACTACTGGCGGTACCGGTACCGGAACTGGCATGACAGGAACGGAGTGCGGGTGCTGATGAGGACGAGGATGAGGATGAGGATGTTGCAGTGGAACGTTCGAAGGTGGAGGATGAAGACGAGGGATCACTTTGAAGGGTGGCGAGTGATGCTGAGATGAAGCAGTGGATGTGGATAGAAGGCTTGGGACAGGGGAGGAAGCAGGGGGGATGCTGCCGCTTCGAAAGGACATCGAAGAGTGGGAAGAGGCCGTGGCAGCAGACGAAGTGGACTTGGTGTGTCTTCGCGGACCCATGCTCTGGTCTCTCGTCGGCGTGCCGGGAGTCGTGGCGGGTGGATCGTTGAGCGATGGCCAGACGATCGCGTCCTTGGGTTTAGTGCTGATCTTCTCCCGGCCCCTCGTCTCGCTAGCCACCGACTCGCTCTTCTTCTTCCGGGTCTTCCTCTCCTTCTCCTTATCCCCAGACGAAGACGCGCTCGACTTAACTCTGAACCACCCATCACTATCCGCCTCCAACTCTTCCGCCCGAGCTTTCTCCCCCTTCTCACGTTTGCCTGAAGGAGGCGAAGGACCTGAATGATCACCGTTGGGTGCGGGTGCCGAAGAACTCAGACCAGACCCAGACGATAACGTCTCTTCCTCGTCCTTCAGCCCCACCGTCCCAGCCCTCGGACTCCCCTCCGCACTCCTTGACTTCCGAACCAACAAGGCACTCCTGAGTGTCGTCATCGAGTTCTGCCTTGTATGTCTCGCCTTCATCGCACTCGCACCTCGGCCTACGTTGGAATAAGACGAAGTGTCGGAGGAGGCAGGCGACGGCGAATCATCACGCGAAGGGCTAGGTGTGGTGGGGAGTGAAATTTGGTCCTTCGACGGTCCTCTGAGATGGTGTGGGTGCTGTGGCCTTTGAGACTCGTGCTGCTTCGAGGAGGTGCGTTTCGATTGATACACAGGGATAGGGGCAGGGGAAGGCACAGGTGGGAACGCCGCATTGTACCTTTCCACTGCCATCCGTGCCATTTCCTCCTGTGACGGATACAGCATCCCCGGGTGTGGTGCTTCAGGGAAATGCGATGTGTTGCTCGAAGATCTCGCTGCGCCCTCCCAGAACGTCCGATCTGTACAAGTCGCCGTTCCCCCGACCTCGCCTAGTAAGACACCGCTGGCAGTCTTGATGGTTACGCTCCCGCTGCCCACCCTGTTCTTCTTCGTGAAGCCACCCCGGTTCTGAGGTGGACTCTGCTCAACACCGCCACCAAAGACATCGCCTTCGGTGAACGAACTCGCAGAGCTAGACTTGCTGGCGAGGTACCGCGGCTTGTTCCTCTGTGCGAACCGCTGGTGGAAGTCCGCCATCGTCTTGAGAACCTCAGACGTGGTAGGCGGAGATGGCTTGGGATAAGAGTGCTTCCTTCGTGTCACTGATTCCACTGGTTCGTCGTCAGTGGTGGTCGTGGGAGAGACGGAGTTGGAAGTGGTGGGTGTGGCGACCTCATGCGGTGTAGTCGGTGAATGAGTTGTCAAGTCCTCGTCCGTCAAGAATTGAGTGTCGAAGACCGGTGGATGGTTTTCGTCGTGCTCCAGTCCCAAAGGGGGCGAATCGAAGACCACATCGACTTCCTCGTCGCCGTCGCCTGACGTGGCACTTGACCTGGAAGATGACACCGAGCGATGCAACGACAGCCCACTTGATGCTGAGCTGAAGCTCCTCGACGCAATGTCGCAGTCGTGGTCGTCATCGTATGTTGGCGAAGACGGACAAGCCGCTCTTGTCGTTTCTGAGTGTGGGTGTTGGTGTTGGAGACGTGGGTCTGCTGACTCCCGTTCGCAGTGGCGCGAGGCAGGTGATTCAAGCACGAGAAGAGTGGTAGGGGATGCGTCCGTCGACGTTGGATTGAGCGCAGGGGAACAGTCGTCAACGTCTAAGCACGAAGCTGCGGATATCAAAGACTCTGTGAACTCCTTCCATGAGCCTCTGCATCGGTCAACCACATGCACATCGTCTCCGTTCGTCTCTCCGTCTGCGATAGGATTATAGAGCGCCAGCTGTTCTGCCTCGTCGAGGGTGGGGTGGAGAATGGACGTCATGAGGGTGCAGGCTTCATAGTGCGACACTGAGTCGAGCGCCGCTTTGATTCCTGGCAACGTCTCGTTGAGTTCGAAGTGCCCTATGTCCATGTGGGAGTGTTCGGTGGCAGATGTGCTAGGTGCTGATTCTTCGTGGGAAATTGACCATTGAGGAGTTGGATGTTCGCTTGAACATGATGAAAGGGAATCGGTGTCGGTGGTGTGTTTGCTGTGAAGGAGTTCATTCAGAAGACGATCGTCTGATTCATCTTCGTCGTCTTCAAAGCTTGCCACTTTGTGCGCCTGGATGATGAGGTGAACATCACCGCTATCGCTAGCGGTGACTGACATGGTGTAGTATTCTGTATTATAAGAGAAAATGAGAAGAGGATGAGAGGAATGAAAGACAGAACAGTAGACCTGAATCACTCCCAGCTTGGGGGTCAGAGTGAAAGGTGCACAAAGTCACGACATATTGATCTCCTCTCACATGACTGCTGACTCATGAAGTGGAGTCAAAAAAGTGCGACTCTCTGACTGGGAGTCGAACCCAGCTTTCGCGCGACCAGAATCGCTGGCAATGACAGGCGCGTGTACTAACCGATATACTATCAGAGATATGTTCGAGCTCGAGACCTTGACAATAATATTATTTCAAGCCTAGCCAGGCCTTGCTACACATGATGCGGGATAACTGTACATATCGACGAACCGCATGCAGCGTTTTCACACCGTCGACCTTCCTCTTACCCTCCTCAGATACGCCCTGACAATCATCTCCTCAATACTACAACCACAATCAGTTTTATTCATCCCACACACATACAAATGAACACTCACCGCCCTTTAACCATAAACGTCACACCCTGGCTCACACAGGCCTTCAACAGTTGCACGTCTAGTCCCTGATATGCACTCCTTCCTTCCCTCCCCGTACTCGTCAGCGCGTCTCTCAAGTTAAGCGCTGCAGAGGAGGAGGACGACTGCGCTAGAGTCTTGGCCAGGATGAGAGGATACAGGATCATCGTCGCTGAAACAGATTCCGCATGAGTTCCATCGGGACTGCGTCAGAAAGTTGAGACTACTCACCGATAGCATTAGCGACAGCACCACCCACGAATGCCTCCCCGGGACTAGGATCAGCTTGCGCCAAACCATCCTTCTTCTGAACCAGAGCCAACACCCGCCTGAACACCTGGAAGAACGTCATGGTGATAGAGGGGTTAAGCGACAGAGCCGTCGTCGTCGAGAAGCCTCGCCAGAAACCGGCTAGTCCATGTTCCCGATAGATCGTGTTCATTGTCCCCACTACACCTCCATCCTGCCTTGTTTCATGGCCCTTCTCAGATTCGGACTCGTCGCGCTCGGCTTGCAAACGAACGGTAACCAAGTTCAACGGCGTGCTAATTGCCCTCGACGCTACACCAGCCACGAAACCAAGCGCCAGCTCCTCCAGTACGGTCAGCGTCGCCACCGCGCCCGCTTTTAACTTGGTTTCATCTCCACGCATAGAAAAGGTGCTGTATTTCCGGCGAAGGAACGAGTAGAAGTAGAAGTAGAAGAAGCTGCGCAGAGGGTTATGACGTCAGGGGGGTAAACTCGCATAACATAGCGCAGGGCATGAAGAACGTACTTAGAGAGCAACGTCGCCCCAGTATCGGTGAATACGCCATCGTAAAGCGCTGCCCAGCCGTACTTGTTCAGCACTCGTCGGAGGATGGGGAGTGCGGGGTGCACCGCGGCTTTATCCTTGCTACTCTTCGAAGATGAACTTGCAGGCTGGGGAAGTCTCGAACTCGGAGCAGAAGCAAGCTGTACCCTTGTTGTAATTAAATCAAGAGGATACACAAGCGCGTTGGCGGATGCGCTGCCGAGGGCGCCTGAGACGGCTTGAACGAGTGGTGGGAGGGTGGATGTCATAGTAGGTGTTTGAGGTAACTTGGGTTGGTAGGGTTGAACTACGTTACTGTAGTCGGCACCGTTTTGCTCGTGAATATTCTACCAGTGCGCACGTCGCTCTGGTGTTTTTGCTGATTGTTTCCCGCGTCCCTCTCGATATCGGCGCAGGCGCAGGCGCTGCTCAGCTCGACGACGACGCGATGAAGTCAAGTGCTTGCCTGAGACGGTGGCAGACGTGAGTGCAACTGAGGAAGTCCTGAGAATGATGTGATCCAAAAGCTCTTGTCGTCTACTTTCATCTACTAAACCCAAACCAAACTAAACCTTACCCCACTACCTGCGTGCTCCCGCCCAAGATCCCCGCAAGCTCAGATTACGACTGCCTAATGCTCACCGCCGACCTCTTGGCCGACTGGTTCCACGGGCCACTAGGAGTATGGGAGGAGCAACACATCCTCAAACACAACAATACATGGTTTATCCAAGATCTGACTATGTTTCAAGAAGGCAAAACGACTGGGCTAGACAACACTGAATATCTCGTGTCAGCGCCCGCTGACGCATCTGCTGCTGCTGTAGAGTGCTGGGGCTATGTGACGATAGATGCTCACGACAGGAAAAGACTGACTTCGGAAGGGTGGGCGAGGCTCAACGAGGCGGTCAGGAAGAGGGCTGCGCAAGAGGTAGCAAAACTGGAAGAGGGCGCTTTGTCGAGGAGTACAGGCCTTCGCGAGCTTCGCTATATCTCAGATATGCTAACACCATGTTTCTACTCCAGGCAAACTCCGTCCACCAACCTGCGCTGACGACCTTTTCAAACTTGACATCCCACTCCGTATCGGCATCAAGCTCACGAAATGTAACTCAGCAGTCTACTTACCAGGCTCACAAGGTACCTTATCAGACTTATGCTCTCTGTCGCCAGCTGGCTGACCTTGTACGCAACCACTAGCCAAATCGTCTACCAAGCGCAGTGCCTCTACATCCGAACTGGGCATCATCAGGATCCACGCAATTGTACATCGTGGCGACCGCGGACCCACACACAGCACCTTCCTCGTCAAGTCCTTAGAAATCGAAAGCGAAGACCTCAGCCGTGTCTGGTTCGCGCGCCATCAGTTCCTTGCTAAACTCGAGGCGCTCCACCCGTTTGCTCTGATTCGCGAGCGGATGCACCCAGAGGAGTATATCAACCTGTATCAACAACGTGCACACTTGGATCGTGGCAAGCAAGAAGAAGAAGCAGAGAAAGGGGAGGACGGGTCTGTATTACGACCCAAGCGCAGAAGGCGGCCTCATAGGGCAGAGATCCGATCCCACTTCGTCGCGCATGCAGAGTGGATTCTCGCCCAGCAGATGTCTAGGAGAGGAGAGCTTAATAGGGTTGTCGACCCCGTGGCATGGTACGACTGGTTCGTGGATATGAAGTCGCAGAGGCGAAAGTCCTGGGAAGACGGTCGTACGTTGTGTCGTTCATGACTCATGCACAGATTGATAACATGCATCTACAGGAGTCTGGGGCTGGGAACCTGGCGTTACGTACGAAGATGCTAGAAAACTGATTATCAAGGAAACAAGAAGACCGGATGGGATTGTGGATGTCACGCGCTTTGGGGTAGAGGAGAATTTGAAGGGAGCGAAGATGGTGGACAGAATAGAGAGGGACAGGAAAAAGCGTGAACGGGAAGAGGAGAGGCGATTTCTGCAAATGGAACTGCAGTCTGACGATGATGATACACCGGTAGGCCTTCCTTCACTTGCGCTTATGCGCGAGGCGTTTGAACTCACTGATTCTAATGCACGCGTAGCTTGATGCAGAGAGCTCAATCGAGGAGACGCCTCCCTTTCGCGACGAAGACGGAGTCGACTACAGCATGGACGACTTCGACGGCGAAGACGGAATCTACATCGACGACGACGCAGTCCCTAATCCCAATGAGACTATACGCTACCACAACAATCATCAAGTCATCTTCAATAACCTAGGCTATTCCTCCTCCTCTTCCTCCGCAGACTCCTCCGACTCCGAGCCCAACGATTCGTCCTCCCTGACCTCCCTTCGCGCCACCTTCCGACTCCACCTCGCCCTGATCTCTCCTGCCTCTCTCCCGGAGCGAGGCCTCATCTGGACTTGCCCCGTCCCCCTCGTCCTTCCAGGCCCGTCTTCAGAACGGAAACCATGTCCCTACAAAATCGACTTCTCCAGCATTACATCTCAGGACCTAACGTCCCGTGGAATACCTGCGCCTCTCGCGCGGTGGGTCGCGAATCGGCTGTGGGGCGATACGGGTGGTATTCGCGGTGATGCGAGGGTAGGAGAGGTATTTGGGATGCTGTGGGCGAGGCATCGGACGGAGCATCTGTTAGATGCGGGAGTGAGGAGGGGGAAAGATGGGGTGAGTTCTTCGTCGTCAGATTTGAACGCGTTTGGAACTGATTATGGATGTTCAGCGAGGGTGGGTTCTGGAGAATCATGCGACGGCTGGTCCGCTGCCTTCAAGTAAGAGTTTGGTTCTGAGTAGGTAAACTCGCGTTGCTTCTGTAGTACCATTGAACGTCCGATGCACCTCGAAGAACGCTGGTCTTACCGAAATTAGAATCATTCATGTCACCCCACGAGGAACCCGTGGGCGCCGGGCGCTGCGTCTTCAAGTTCGGGAGGTTTGCCTTTGCAGAACGAGCAAATCGTCACAAGTCATGAGTACATTAGCAGAAGTCGTGAGCTAGGTGAACATCCAAGGGACGTGCTGCGTTCAACTTGAGGCAGGTACATGAAAGAGTCCATGACGATGCTACACATGCACACAATTCTGGAAACTCCGCTCCTCCAAGGCCACCTCATAACTCTCCTGTGATAGCTCGCACGGGGTGCAGCAGAAGCCCACAAGACAGTCTGTGCATATGCTTCCCTTAATCCCATAACGAGGCCCGAATTGCGCCTCGCTGTAACATCTACGCCACGGAAATAGTTGAGTACTGGGAACATAAGGTGACAATTCCCTCGAATGTACCTGGAATACCCAACCTACTCCGAAGAACGAAGTAACACAACAATGTAGCATGCAATCGCTGGTGCAGCAACCGCCTCCATGCTCAGGATCCGGGAGGCCCGCCTGCGCCAGGTGTTCACTTCGTCGCTTGACCTTGGAGAACACGATGCAGGGGCAAACACATGCAAGGAGGCCTACAGCGCGAATATGCGTTAAACATTCGCACGCGTCAGTCAAAAGTCGAGACGCACAAGTGCTACCTTCAGCACAAGAGCAGAGTCCGCTCGTCCAAACGCGTAGCATCGCGAGGCATACCTCGTGGATTTATATTAGGTTTCCTCCTGCAACCAGCCGCATCCCAGGCGAGTCTCTGGGCTGCCTATTAATTGGGGACTTGTCATGATACTGTAACGGAAAGTCTGAGTTTTTAGCGCAGTCCGGGTTCGATTGGTATGAAGCCTGATACCTGCGGCGAGCTTTGTGGAAGACAAGTCTGCGATGGATAAGTCTGCGGCGGTAAGACTTGGATGTCGAGATGAGGGCTCCAAGAGTGCAAACTGAGCCCCGGGCTCAAATGATATATTCAGGAATGCCTTTTTCGGTGTGAGTGCAAATTAGAGTCAGGAATGCTGCCAGTAGTGGTCGGCGGGATCGATGAGAGCGGAGGCAGTCTCAGCGATGGCCACGGTGGCGAACGTCGGCAACGTTTTGGTGAATCTGGACGAGCGG